GTACCTGCATGTCCCAAATAAGGTGCTCGTCTTCGTCAACGCCTATGTCGTTCTCTAACACGCTTACCCATAGCACTGTCTCGAGGAGACGAAAGGAGAGGTGACGGGTGCGAATTTGTGTTGGACCAACTGCCCAATTGGTCCAACAGGCTTGTTGGAACAGCTTATTAGCTGGTCCTACCGGTTTATTCGTCCAGCAAGCAAGTTGATGTCGCTTCTTGAGGAATCCATACTACCATCTGCATAGGCAAGCAAACGACAAGGCGTGGCATCCACACGTACTGGTTCGCCTTTGCAGTCGCCCTAAGAGTACCTGCATGTCCCAAATAAGGTGCTCGTCATCGTCGACGCCTACGTCGTCCTCTAACACGCTTACCTATTGCACTGTCCCGAGGAGAGGAGAGGAGAGGTGATGGGTGCGAATTTGTGTTGGACCAACTGCTCAGTTGGTCCAACCGGCTTGTTGGAACAGCTTATCAGCTGGTCCAACCTGTTTGTTCGTCCAACAAGCCAGTTGATGTCGCTTCTTGAGGAATCCATAGTACCATCCGCACAAGCAAGCAAACGACAAGGCATGGCATCCACACTTACTGATTCGCCTTTGTAGTCGCCCTAAGAGTACCTGCATGTCCCAAATAAGGTGCTCGTCATCTTCGACGCCTACGTCGTCCTCTAACACGCTTACCCATTGCACTGTCCCGAGGAGAGGAGAGGAGAGGTGATGGGTGCAAATTTTTGTTGGACCAACTGCCCGGTTGGTCCAACTGGCTTGTCGGAACAGCTTATCAGCTGGACCTACCGGTTTGTTCGTCCAACAAGCCAGTTGATGTCGCTTCTTGAGGAATCCATAGTATCATCTGCACAAGCAAGCAAACGACAAGGCCTGGCATCCACACGTACTGGTTCGCCTTTGCAGTCGTCCTAAGAGTACCTGCATGTCCCAAATAAGGTGCTCGTCATCGACGATGCCTATGTCCTCTTCTAACACGCTTACCCATAGCACTGTCTCGAGGAGAGGAGAGGAGAGGAGAAGTGACGGGTGCGAATTTGTGTTGGACCAACTGCCCAATTGGTCCAACAGGCTTGTTGGAACAGCTTATTAGCTGGTCCCACCGGTTTGTTCGTCCAACAACCCAGTTGATGTCGCTTCTTGAGGAATCCTTAGTACCATCTGCAGAGGTAAGCAAACGACAAGGCCTGGCATCCACACGTACTGGTTCGCCTTTGAAGTCGCCCTAAGAGTACCTGCATGTCCCGAATAAGGTGCTCATCATTGTCGACGCCTACGTCGTCCTCTAACACGCTTACCCATTGCACTGTCCCGAGGATAGGAGAGGAGAGGTGATGGGTGCGAATTTGTGTTGGACCAACAGCCCAGTTGGTCCAACCGGCTTGTTGGAACAGCTTACTAGCTGGTCCAACCAGTTTGTTCGTCCAACAAGCCAGTTGATGTCGCTTCTTGAGGAATCCATAGTACCATCTGCACAGGCAAGCAAACGACAAGGCCTGGCATCCACACGTACTGGTTCGCCTTTGCAGTCGCCCTAAGAGTACCTGCATGTCCCAAATAAGGTGCTCGTCTTCGTCGACGCCTACGTCGTCCTCTAACACGCTTACCCATAGCGCTGTCTCGAGGAGAGGAAAGGAGAGGTGATGGGTGCGAATTTGTGTTGGACCAACTGCCCAGTTGGTCCAACAGGCTTGTTGGAACAGCTTATCAGCTGGTCCTACCGTTTTGTTCGTCCAACAAGCCAGTTGATGTCGCTTCTTGAGGAATCCATAGTACCATCTGCACAGGCAAGCAAACGACAAGGCCTGGCATCCACACGTACTGGTTCGCCTTTGTAGTCGCCCTAAGAGAACCTGCATGTCCCGAATAAGGTGCTCGTCATCGTCGACGCCTACGTCGTCCTCTAACTCGCTTACCCATTGCACTGTCCTGAGGAGAGGATAGGAGAGGTGATGGGTGCGAATTTGTGTTGGACCAACTGACCAACTGGCGCCTTGCGCGCTGGCGCCTAACGCGCTGGCGCCTTGCGTGCTGGCGCCTAGCACACTGGCGCCTAGCGAACTGCCGTCTTGCGCGCTGGCGCCATGCGCGCTGGCGCCGTGCGCGCTGGGCCCTTGCGCGATGGCGCCGTGCGCGCTGGCGCCTAGCGCGCTGGGGCCTAGTGCGCTGGCGCCTAACGTGCTGGCGCCTTGTGCGCTGGCGCCTTAAGCGTTGGCGCCTTGCGCGCTGATGCCTAGTGCGCTGATGCCTAGCGCCTTGGCGCCTAACGCGCTGGGGATAAGCGCTCTGGCGCCAGGAGACCGCGTGAAAGCGTGAGAGAGCGCGTGAGAGTGCGCGTGAGACTGTGCGTTAGAGTGTGCGTGGGAGTGCGTGTGAGGGAATGTGAGAGAGCGCGTGAGGGAATGTGACGCTCATAATGAACCCTAAATTTCAGAGTTCCCTAGAAAACAGCTCTGGAAATCCGAGTAGTGAAAATTAAAAAAAAAGCCATGCTTGTGACCATTTGTGTTTCCTGTACTTTCTTATTATCTCTCACTTAGCCTCCGGGGGTGTGCCAAACTACATATTGTTGTTAGACTATAGTGAGGTTAGCCATAGTGAGTATAACATTTTAGGGTTAGCATTTGTACTCACTCACTTGCTACTCATCATCATTCCGCTCCGTATCTCAGCACAACACAACACAACACAACACACAATGCACTTTTATATCATTAGCCATGCTACGACAAAAAAATATTGCAGGGGTATAGGCAGAGTCGTTTTTAGCGTGCTCAGCCAATATGAGCAAAATATATGTTTTCTTTACGACCCAATGATACAATAGCCTAAATATGTTCGGTAACATCTTGAAGTATGAGAAATAGCACTTTGAGTTAGAAGGGCGTGCATCAGGAGTTGCGAGGTATTTCTATTGACGAGTACGGCGAAAAAACGCAAAACGCGAAGGTCGCTGTCGCGACTTGGCAAGGTGAGGCGACGTGCATTTGTACTTCGCAAAATCTGCTACAAGCCCCCCCCTCCGTTTCTTTCGTTCGCAGCCTCCGGAAGTCCCGTCTTCCTGTCCCCTTCGCTTCGGAAAGCACACTCTCCCGTTTCGACCCCATCCCCCCTCCCCCCCCCCCACTTGTACGCCACGCAGCAGCAGCAAGCAACGAGGAAAACTATGGGGCATAGCAGCGTCCCGAGACGCGCTTTCACCGTCACTTACGGTCGACCCAACACACCAACATCGCCATGTCATCCCTTGAAAATCGCGCCCGAAACTAGCACTGGTCAATTTCAGTCTGTTACAAATTTCAGCCCTGATTCAGCCAGCTTCCGGTCACTTTCTCCTGGAATAGTGATATAAAAAATCCTCTCTTCTTCCCAAGCCTGCATCTCGCTGACGGCAGCTGGCGTAAGAACGCGCAGCAGCAGGACACCGATAGTTCCACTCGTAATCGTACCCCGGCACGACATGAAGCGACGCAGCAAGCTTGCAACTCCACAAGGGCCCCACGGTGAGACTAGTGCCACGGGCGACGCCAACTGCGTGGATGTGGCAACGCAGATGGCTGAGTGCTGCTTGGAGAAATTCAGGTCATCGCAGCCAATGCCACGCTCGAGTCAGTGCGCACAGCAGCGCCGTGTCTTGCCTATCTCCGCCCTTTACCTCGCGCCTCGCGTCTTCGGTGGTAATGACGCGTGGGGTGCTGCCGATAATGGTCCAGCCGCTGTTACGCCAAGTGAGCAGATCGTTGCGGCAAGCACGGCGCTGAAGCGCTCCGGCAAGGGTGGCGACGAAAGCGAGGAATGCGACGATAACAAGTTCACCGACGAATCTGACGATAATGTGGGCGATTCGGACGACGAGGCGTCCGTGGCGTCCACTTTCTCGTGCCTATCCAGAAACACGTCAACTTCGTCATTGTCCGAATCGCACAGGCGGCTGGGGACAAGCAGTGTGCTACTGACGACTGTGACACGGAAGTTCGTTTGCCCGACGACCTCTACCCGAAGGAAGCGCGTATAGCATTTTCGGATCAAGACAGCACGCAGCGGGCGACGGGGGCGACCAGCGAGTTCCACCAGCTGCAGCCGCCGCAGGCAAGGCTCGTGCTGCGAGAGTCGTGCATGCAACGGGTCTATGTGCAGCAGGCGATGTTCGTCGAGCACCAGCGAAGGATGCAATGGCTACAGCAGCAGCACATGCAGCAACAGCACTTCCAGAGCGGTATGGCGGGGTGGCAGTCAGCAGGAACGCCTCGGCGAGGTTTCGTTCCCCCACGCCTCCGTCGGCCTCAAGCCTATTGTGGCACGGGAGTGTTCCTGCTTGGAACCGCCAATGGTTGATGCTGACGACTATGGACTTCCTACCGAACCCTAAAAGCGGGATGACATTCAGGCTAGGACTACCGCTATGCTCAAATAAAAAGCCAGAGAAGTCTGTGCTGTGGTGTGGCAGTTGCCTTGCCTCCGCACGCTGATGGGAGCACCCACGCCACATCATATTGCGTTGTACACAGGGTCTCCCCAATGTAGGTACATAGTGCATACCATCATGTTCTTGGAATGTCAGTAGATAATCTGCCATTATCCAGCTGGTAATCCGTAAGCAAGTTTCCGGCATTCGGGATGTCTAGTACGATTAAAAAGGGGGTGAAGTCATTGCACATGGTACAACTGAAATAATCAGGAAGTTCCAGCAATCAGCATTGCGAATGTCTTGCACAGTAGTTATAGGTAGCAGTCATGAATGATTGGTCATCATAAAGCATCGGATGCAATGAGGACGAGCAGGGCAGTCCATCCGGTAAATGGATGTGCTCCCTTGCCTTTGCCATCCGCTGTATTGTCGTACTGCTCCCAGAAATACCCACTCTCCTCGTACCGTTCCACAATGTTCCTGCCAGCCAGCAAATGGTGGTGCACGGCACGGTGAAGAGCACGGAGAACCAAGGAAAACCCCAAGAGCTTGATAGCTAGTGAAGGCAGTGGGTGGCATTACCTGACGAGGTTGAAGCGCAGCTCCCGGTACAGCTCTGCTGCCCTGCCCCTGTGTGGCCCTGCCTCTGCGGGTGAGTGGGGAAGGGAAGCATGGGTGACGAGGGAGGAAAGAACGGGTCACGAGGGAATGAAGAAGGTCACGAGGGAAGGACTTTGCGAAAGAAGCATGCATATGCGGACGTGTGTGCACATGTGCATGCATGTGTGTGTGTGTGTGTGTGTGTGTGTGTGTGTGTGTGTGTGTGTGTGTGTGTGTGTGTGTGTGTGTGTGTGTGTGTGTGTGTACAAATGCAGACATTTATGAGTGAGTGTGTGCACACGCCCGTGCACGTGTGTGTGTGTGTGTGTGTGTGTGTGTGTGTGTGTGTGTCGCGCGTGCACGTGCGCACACATGTATGTGTGTTCACGCTCACGGCAATGCATGAGTCTGCAGGGTTCCATATATACGTGTACGCATGCACTAGAAATGGAAGGAGGGAGGGGACGGACAACGGTATGCCATGAGAGTCAGAGAGAGATCAGAACCCATCTGATTCAGGATGACGATTCACAGAAGAACCTTGCACAGGGCAAGGTTAGAACTGATGATCGCACTCCTGAGGTCAGCAGCACGGCACACGAGGGCGCGAGCACAAGAGATCAAGGGAGGTGGTGGCCCACCCCGGGGGGTGAGGGCGTACGGGTGGAGTAGAAGCGCAGGGCGGAGAGTGCAAGGTAGTTGATGTTGATCCACACGGGCCCCCGCCAGTACGGCGGGTCGTGCTCCGTGTTGCGCCGCATGTACAGCGCGCTGGGGGAGGGGCGCACGTGCACAGCAGCAGTGGAAGGTTGCGCGGAGACAAGGAGCTGAGCATGGTTGCTGGTGCAGCGAGCATGAGCACGAGCATGGGCATTGACGAGAGCATGGCATGGCATGGGCATGGGAATGGGTATGAACATGGACATGGACATGGACATGGGCATGGGCAAAGGCATGGGCGTGCGCATGAGCATGAGGAGGCGAACTCGTACAATCACATCGATGCTGATACCCGCTCCGAGCTGAAAGATTTGCGCACCGTGGTGCAGCGTATTGAAACGCGTCTTCGTATTTCCGATGAGATCCATGAAACGTTGGCTTCAACGACCAAGAGTCTGCTTGAAGCCGTACACCAACCGAGCTGGTGTACCGAGAACACCATGGAGGTGTGTTCCTTTTGTGTAAGATTATCCGTTTTTCCAGAACTTTACTAATCGTGTTTTGTCCGTGTGTACTCGCAGGAGGCAATGAAGAAGGCGTGTGATGACCTGCTGAAGGGTCCAGACGTCGAAAAGTGCGTCATCTATCCCGTGGAGGAGCTGTTTAAGGATGCCGTCATCAATCACATCACTTTGGAGCCTGACGACCTTGGCAAGTTCAACGACTACTGGAAAAAGGGTGAATGGACTAAAAAATGTTTTGAAGCTTGCAACAGCCGCCAAGGGAAGGTAGGTTTCAATTCATGGAACGCATCCTTCGCGCTACTCACGGACCCCGAGGGTGAGGAGGTTCAAGACGACGTCTAGGCATGGGCGTGGGCATGTGCATGGGCATGTCCAGAGGCATGAGCAAGAGCAGCAGCACCATGGCCGTCGGCATCGGCTGCGGCATGGGCATACAATCTCCCCACCTGTCATCTCCCCACGCCCATGTGTGGAGTGGCACCTGGTGGTGGCGAGGGAGTGTGTCACCTGGTGGTGGCGAGGGAGTGTGTCACCTGGTGGTGGCGAGGGAGTGTGTCACCTGGTGGTGGCGAGGGATCGCAGGCCGAAGGGCGTCCAGAGCAGCTTCTCCTCGCGCAGCGCCTCCAGCTGCTGCCCCAACTCACTCGCGTGCTGCCCATGCCATGGGGGACGGGAGCGGACAGGCAGAGATGGGGCACCGAGATAACACAGCACGAGAGGACGGGCGAGAAAAGGGCAATGGGCGTGGAGGGGAAATAGGTTGGAGTGGCAGGGTGGACGGAATGAAAAGGAGCGGAACGGAACAAACAGCTTACAGGCGGAATCAAGCGCAGCAGCAGTGGGAAGAGTGAGACGTATCCAAAGTGTGGCACGAATCGCAGTGTGGGAGAGCCCTTGACCACGCGGCGCTGCTCCCGTCGCACGCTGTACGTGACGGGGTCCACCGCCTCCCCCGCCTCCAACCGCACCTGGTGCCCCCGGGGCACACAACACGGCGCACAGCACGGCACCAAGCAGGGCAGGGACAGGGCAGCGGGCAGGGCGGCAGGCAGGGCGTGTGGATATGGATGCCGGGAGATGGACACCTCTTGACCTCCTTTCACCTCCCCTCCGCTCCTCTCACCATTCAACTCAGCCTTCCCATGCATCACCCCTCTGCGCCCGTGCACCACCCCTCTGCGCCCATGCACCACCCCTCTGCGCCCATACACCACCCCTCTGCGCCCATACACCACCCCTCTGCGCCCATGCACCGCCCCTCTGCGCCCATACACCACCCATCTGCGCCCATACACCACCCCTCTGCGCCCATGCACCGCCCCTCTGCGCCCATGCACCGCCCCTCTGCGCCCATGCACCGCCCCTCTGCGCCCATGCACCACCCCTCTGCGCCCATGCACCACCCCTCTGCGCCCATGCACCGCCCCTCTGCGCCCATGCACCGCCCCTCTGCGCCCATGCACCGCCCCTCTGCGCCCATGCACCGCCCCTCTGCGCCCATGCACCACCCCTCTGCGCCCATGCACCGCCCCTCTGCGCCCATGCACCACCCCTCTGCGCCCATGCACCACCCCTCTGCGCCCATGCACCACCCCTCTGCGCCCATGCACCGCCCCTCTGCGCCCATGCACCGCCCCTCTGCGCCCATGCACCGCTCCTCTGCGCCCATGCACCGCCCCTCTGCGCCCATGCACCACCCCTCTGCGCCCATGCACCACCCCTCTGCGCCCATGCACCACCCCTCTGCGCCCATACACCACCCCTCTGCGCCCATGCACCGCCCCTCTGCGCCCATGCACCGCCCCTCTGCGCCCATGCACCGCCCCTCTGCGCCCATGCACCGCCCCTCTGCGCCCATGCACCGCCCCTCTGCGCCCATGCACCGCCCCTCTGCGCCCATGCACCGCCCCTCTGCGCCCATACACCACCCCTCTGCGCCCATACACCGCCCCTCTGCGCCCATGCACCGCCCCTCTGCGCCCATGCACCGCCCCTCTGCGCCCATGCACCGCCCCTCTGCGCCCATGCACCGCCCCTCTGCGCCCATGCACCGCCCCTCTGCGCCCATACACCACCCCTCTGCGCCCATGCACCACCCCTCTGCGCCCTTGCACCACCCCTCTGCGCCCATACACCACCCCTCTGCGCCCATGCACCGCCCCTCTGCGCCCATGCACCGCCCCTCTGCGCCCATGCACCGCCCCTCTGCGCCCATGCACCGCCCCTCTGCGCCCATGCACCGCCCCTCTGCGCCCATGCACCGCCCCTCTGCGCCCATGCACCGCCCCTCTGCGCCCATACACCACCCCTCTGCGCCCATACACCGCCCCTCTGCGCCCATGCACCGCCCCTCTGCGCCCATGCACCGCCCCTCTGCGCCCATGCACCGCCCCTCTGCGCCCATGCACCGCCCCTCTGCGCCCATGCACCGCCCCTCTGCGCCCATACACCACCCCTCTGCGCCCATACACCGCCCCTCTGCGCCCTTGCACCGCCCCTCTGCGCCCTTGCACCGCCCCTCTGCGCCCATGCACCGCCCCTCTGCGCCCATTCACCACCCCTCTGCGCCCATGCACCGCCCCTCTGCGCCCATGCACCGCCCCTCTGCGCCCATGCACCTGCCCCTCTGCGCCCATGCACCGCCCCTCTGCGCCCATGCACCGCCCCTCTGCGCCCATGCACCGCCCCTCTGCGCCCATGCACCGCCCCTCTGCGCCCATGCACCGCCCCTCTGCGCCCATGCACCGCCCCTCTGCGCCCATGCACCGCCCCTCTGCGCCCATACACCGCCCCTCTGCGCCCTTGCACTGCCCCTCTGCGCCCTTGCACCGCCCCTCTGCGCCCATGCACCGCCCCTCTGCGCCCATTCACCACCCCTCTGCGCCCATGCACCGCCCCTCTGCGCCCATGCACCGCCCCTCTGCGCCCATGCACCGCCCCTCTGCGCCCATGCACCGCCCCTCTGCGCCCATGCACCGCCCCTCTGCGCCCATGCACCGCCCCTCTGCGCCCATGCACCGCCCCTCTGCGCCCATGCACCGCCCCTCTGCGCCTATGCACCGCCCCTCTGCGCCCATGCGTCCCCCCACTGACCTTGTCGGTGTGGTTGCCGTAGTCGGCGTAGCGCTGCCTCCTGCCGTCCCAGTGCAGCTGGTGCCGTGGGAAGGGCGATTGCCCATCAGGAGGGGGGGGACACGAACATGGGACGGAGAAGTGAGGGAGACGAAGAGAAGGAGGGTGGATGGGCGAGGGGCGGAAGGGAACGAGAAGAGTGTGGGTGGGGGAGAGATAGTGGGGTGCAGAGTGGGGAGGGTGTTGGGCAGCCAGCTTCTGATTACACCAGCTGGCGTCGCTTCCCTCCAGCCCCCATCCTTACACTGAACCCTTACCCACCCCTTGTCAGTGCCTCACATGACAATCTGCCATCCCCTGTACCTGCCAGCCATGGTCACTCATGCATGCCCCTCCCACTGCAACTGGCTGCTCTCATCTCACCGCCCACCCATCTACCCTCCCACCCATCCACCAATGCATCCACCCACCCGCCCACTGCCCACCCAAGGGGCGTGGGTGCAAGAGGCATGAGCGCGAGGAGAGGGGTACCTCATTGAGGCGCGTGAAGTCCGTGAGCTGCTGGGCTGTCACCTCGTACTCCTGCATTCATGCGGTCACACAAGCATGCACTCATACACGCACACATGCACACATGCACGCACTCATACACGCAAATATCCACACACACACGCACTCATGCATGCACCCATGCACGCACAAAACACACATGCACAGTTGCAGCAAATGCAAGGAGTGGGAGTGAGGTTACTGCAGCGCAGAGGCTGAATAAAGAGAACAGGCCACGTTGCTGCATGCAGCCAACAGGCAGCCACATTGCTGCATGCGGCCAGCAGGCAGCCACATTGCTGCATGCGGCCAACAGGCAGCCACATTGCTGCATGCGGCCAACAGGCAGCCACATTGCTGCATGCGGCCAACAGGCAGCCACATTGCTGCATGCGGCCAACAGGCAGCCACATTGCTGCATGCGGCCAACAGGCAGCCACGTTGCTGCATGCGGCCAACAGGCAGCCACATTGCTGCTGTGATGTGAGGAGACAAGCTCGGCGAGATGGCAGCCCACAATCTCTCTGGCACACGCCCCCTCTCACCTGCACGGCCTCTCGTCTCACCTGCACGTCCTCCCCCACCACGCTGCCTATCTTGGCGATGGCAGCAGCAGCGGTGGCGAGCCAGCAGCGCAGGTCCACATGGCGCTCGTCCTCCGACGGGTGCGACGCACGTGGGTAGTCGTCCAGCCCCGACTGCAACGTCTGGTGCCAGAGGGGGGGAGGGGGAGGACCGGGGGGACAAGGGCGGGGAGGGAGGGGGAGGACCGGGGGGACAAGGGCGGGGAGGGAGGGGGAGGACCGGGGGGACAAGGGCGGGGAGGGAGGGGGAGGACCGGGGGGACAAGGGCGGGGAGGGAGGGGGAGGACCGGGGGGACAAGGGCGGGGAGGGAGGGGGGCAAAGGGCAAGGCGATGGAAGTGGCTGGGGTGAATGGATGGGTTGGAGTGGGGCGACATGCCGGCAGGGACGTACGGCAGGGCGGGGGGACAGTAAGGGAGCCTGACGAGTGGTGCAGCATTAAGGAAAGGAAACAAGAGATGACAACAAAAATAACCAGCAAGGAGAGCAGCAAGGAGGGCAGGAAGGAGGGCGGGGTGGGACTGGCCTTGGGGTTGAGCTCGCGCACAGTGCTGGCATCCCGCCCCCGCCAGTAGTAGCTTCCAGGCAGCTTCCCTGATCAAAGGCAGAGGAGGAAACAAGGAGGGTGGTGCATGAGAGAGCACAGCTGGCACCTCAACTTTCTTGCAGTGCCGCATGCCACCCACTCACCAACACCTTGGCAGCATGAAGTGCGGCTCACATGCTGTGAGGAGGGGCACTGTTCACATGAAGGGGGCGGCAGGGCAATGGAGCAATGGTGGTGGTGAGGGACCAAGACCCATGTGGGAGGAACCCCCTTCCTCTCACCGCAGCATCCCAGTGTGCCCTTGCATGCCATGCCCGCATTCCACCATCCCAGTGTGCCCTTGCATGCCATGCCTGCATTCCACCATCCCAGTGTGCCCTTGCATGCCATGCCCGCATTCCACCATCCCAGTGTGCCCTTGCATGCCATGCCCGCATTCCACCATCCCAGTGTGCCCTTGCATGCCATGCCCGCATTCCACCATCCCAGTGTGCCCTTGCATGCCATGCCCGCATTCCACCATCCCAGTGTGCCCTTGCATGCCATGCCCGCATTCCACCATCCCAGTAAGGCAGCGGTGAGGTGAGCTTCTGCTGCAACCCCTCTCATAGCGCTGCCCCTCTCATAGCGCTGCCCCTCTCATAGCGCTGCCCCTCTCATAGCGCTGCCCCTGCCCCTCTCCGCTTCCACCCACACATGTCCATTCGCAAGGTGCGGCGCAGCAAAGTGGAATGAAGAGGCGTGCCTAAGTGCCATCCCACACACAGCTTCCCACATGCGTTCTGCTTTTCACATCTGCCCAGCAGCAGTGAGCCGCCTGCCCTACCACACGCACCGGCCTGGGAGGAGTTGAACCAGCGGAACCACGCCTTGAGGCGCGGCAAGCATGCATGCAGGAACGACACCCGTTCACACCCCTCCGCCTCCCCGCCTCCTGCCCCCGCTCCCTCTCCCCCCCTCTCCTTCGGCACAAACGACCCGTTTGGCAGCCGATGACACGTGGCAGCACTGCGAGCTGCCAAATCAGCCATCTCTGTGGAGAGATGGGTGATAAGGTGAGAGGGAAACGGATTTCTGGGAGGCAATAACAAGGTAGCGAACAGCAAGACCAGCATCCAAGGTTCGTGCATCCAAGGTCCGTGCATCCAAGGTTCGTGCATCCAAGGTTCGTGCATCCATGGCAGCACAGCAAAGGCCATGACAAGCGCAAGCTATGTAGGTGGTGAAGTCCAGAGCAGGCAGACATGGAGAGCATACGGCAGTCAGAGAGCAAGATGTGCTGAAGAGCATTGATTCATAGCAATAGAGTCCGCCGAGGGGATGGGACGGGGTCGTTTGGTACGAGTGAGAAGGAGAACGAGGGCGAAATGCACTTGGAGTGCATACCAGTGAGAGGCAGGAAGAGCGTGGGCGGGTTGCCATTGGTCACATGCTGCTCTATGAACTCCTCCGGTACCTTGCTGCCCTTGCCATGGGGGAATGGAGGGTTGGGGGAGAGGGAGTGTGAAGCATTCAGAGGTGAGATGGCAAGCATGAGGACCAACCGGGAGTGAGCAGCAGTGGCGATGCATCCCCACGCCCCCCTCACCTGCGCGCCTCATCCCCACGCCCCCCTCACCTGCGCGCCTCATCCCCCTGCCCTCTCACCTGCGCGCCTCATCCCCCTGCCCCCTCACCTGCGCGCCTCATCCCCCAGGATCTGTTCTCGGGGGATCCAGCCGTCCACATTGAGCAGGTCCAGCCAGTGCCCCACCGCGTCCATCGCCATGCGCTCGTCCCACCGCCTGCCCCCATGCCATACCGTGCCGTCATGCCATGAAATGCACACACAGGGGAGTGGAAGAAAAGGGAGGACATCCATGGGCATGGTGCGCCGCGTGCCTGGCGCCTGAGTGCGACTCGGAGCGATTGACTGGAGAACCACCTGAGGGTGAGCTGGTGGAAGCCCTTAAAGCCACCTGGGCACCACCTTACAGTCAACTGATCCCGAACTGCTGGGGGGCCCTGAAGCCACCTGAGAGGCACCTGAGGATCACCTAAGCAAAAGCTTGTGGAAGCCCATAAAGGCACCTGAGGGCCACCTAAGAGTCACCTGAGGGCCACCTGAAGATCACCTGAGGGCCACCTGAAGGTGACCTGAGGGCCACCTGAAGGTGACCTGAGGGCCACCTGAAGGTTACCTGAGGGCCACCTGAAGGTGACCTGAGGGCCACCTGAAGGTGACCTGAGGGCCACCTGAAGGTTACCTGAGGGCCACCTGAAGGTGACTTGAGGGTCACCTGAAGGTGACCTGAGGGCCACCTGAAGGTTACCTGAGGGCCACCTGAAGGTGACCTGAGGGCCACCTGAAGGTGACCTGAGGGCCACCTGAAGGTTACCTGAGGGCCACCTGAAGGTGACCTGAGGGCCACCTGAAGGTGACCTGAGGGCCACCTGAAGGTTACCTGAGGGCCACCTGAAGGTGACCTGAGGGCCACCTGAAGGTTACCTGAGCACGAGCTGATGAAAGCCCTCGTCCCAGAGGAAGCCCCGAGGGAACATGGGCCGGCTGGGCGTGGCGGTGAACAGTGCCGCTGCCCAATACTGCCAGTAGGCCGCTGGGTCACTGGGGTCCTGGTGTGCGCACGGGGTTGTGGCGATTGGCGGAAAGAATGACGGGACGTTGAGCAAGGAGGCATGAGCAGCGCATGTGCACGGGCAGCGGTGGCCACGGCTTGAGGGACAAGCGGGCGCATGAAGATGACGATGAACGGATGAGGGGAAGAGATGAAGTGAGTGAACCACCCCATGATGGAGGCGTGATGGCAAGTACCTTAAGATGGGGCGGAATGGCGATGCGGGAGCGGCCGTGGAAGTACCCGATGCCGCCGATGAGGTTGCTCAGCGCTGCCTTCACCGCGTTGCCCACTCCTGGGATCTTCTCTGCCAGCTGGGCGGGCAGGCAGGGGACGGGTTGTGGCGAGGGGTAGGCACAGTGGCAGAGGGGTAGGCACAGTGGCAGAGGGGTAGGCACAGTGGCAGAGAGGACTCTAATGACCTCACACGGCCACAGGCCACTGGCACCAGAGAATGGTCCCTGACCTCGCACAACCACCCTCCCCCACAACCTTTCCTCTCCCTTCTCAACCCCCACTGCCACCTGCCGCTTCTCCTCACCTCAGGGACGACAGGGAAGGAAGCTTCCATGCGGCGCTCCACTGCCGCGTCTGCCTCTCCCATGCGCAGCGCCAACGCAGGGCCTGGTGTGGTGACGGACGGTGGAAGGACGGCAGCGGCGAAGCGGTGGGAGGAGAGGGGAAGAGGGGGGTTGCATGCGTGTGCGTGTGTGTGCTGTGCTGCTCATCATTCCGTTTGAAGACAAGGACTATGAGAGGCACCTGAGAGAAGGTTGAGGCGCCTGGTGGCTTGTTGTGACGATGATTGCGCAGCAGAGGCAGCGGGGAGGCCGGAGAGGAAGACAAAGTCCACCACCGCTGGCAGCCACACCGTCAGCTGTGGCCGGGGCGTGTGTGGGGTGGCGGGGAGAAGGAGATAGAGAGAGGGTGAGAGTCGAGCGAGAGGCGATGGATGGGTGGAGCGAGAAGCACATGATGCGGTGAAAAGGAGAAAGAGAGCAGAAACATGTGCACGGGTCGGGAGCACAAGCAGAGGCGAGCAGATGCGGTGCAGCAGATTGTGGTGGTGGAGTGGAGTGCAAGTGGACGATGCAGCTGCCTTGCCTTCACAACGCAAGACATATGAGGCAGAGTGGGCATCTGTATTGCACCTGGATGATGGCCACGTTGGCGCCCGGCTGTGCCTTGTTGCCCAGTGTCGGCTGCTGCGTGGTTTGGTACTGCCGGAGGGGGAAGGTGTGGGGAAGTATGCAAGGGTGGACGGGGGGGTGTGAGGAGGTAGAGCAGGAGGCTCTGTTGTAGAGGGAGACTCTGTTGTAGAGGGAGGCTCTGTTGTAGAGGGAGGCTCTGTTGTAGAGGGAGGCTCTGTTGTAGAGGGAGGCCACGGAGGAATGACAACTCGGGATGCTCAGGTGCATGTGGGCACATGCAGATGATGGCAGCAGGGCGGGCATGAGAGCACGTACGTGGCGGATGAGGGCGGCCTTGACAGTGTCCGACAGGTTGTGCATGTGCCGCGTGTGCACCGCCTCAAATGTCGCCCCCGGCCCCTCCGCCTGCTGCTTGCGGATGGGAGAGGAGGGGGCATGGGGGGCGAGGGAAGAGGTTTGGGTTGAGAAGCAGCAGCGGCGAGCGTGAGTGCAACACACACACTGTCCGGCGCGCACAGGTGGCATACCTGCCAGCGTGCACAGGTGGCATACCTGTGTGACGGCATTCAGCTCCCACCGCCCAAACACATCCGACACCCCCCCCGCCACCACCACTGCCCGCTGCCCCCCTCGCCCCTCCGCCTCCTCCGCCCCACCCCCCTCGCCCATCAGCCTCCTCCCTTTCTTTCCCCCTCTCTCAACCCCTCGTCCCGCCCCACCCCTTCTTAAACCACTGCCCTCCACACTCCTCAACCTTCTCCCCACCCCCATCGCCTCCTCCTCCTCCTCCTCCTCCTCATCCTCCTCCTCGTCCTCAAATCCCCCTCGCACCCACTCCTCGTCACCCTCCGCCCCCCCTCGCCCCGCACTGCCACTCGCACCCTCTCCCCCGCCCACCCCAGTGGCAGCGGCGGGGTGCAGCACGAGGCGGGCCACCTCGGCGGGCGAGGGCAGCGCCAGCAGCGGGGCGCCCGCCTCGTCCGCCACGTAGAAGAAGAAGGTGCTGCGGGAGGGAGGGAGGGGGGGGGGGGGAGGTGGGGAGGAGGGTCCGGGGGGAGCAAGAGGAACAGCCAGTGGGGATGAGAGAGGGAGGGGGAGGAGGAGAAGTGAGAAGGGTGAGAACCGGAAGTGGTGTGTGGGGTGGAGGTGGGGAGGGAGAAGGAAGTGGGAGCAGGCCTCAACGTGGCAATAACTACTGTTGTCTCATAGGGGCATTGACTGGGCGTTGACTCACAAGGGCATTGACTGGGCGTTGACTCACAAGGGCATTGACTGGGCGTTGACTCACAAGGGCATTGACTGGGCGTTGACTCACAAGGGCATTGACTGGGCGTTGACTGCGCCGCCCACCCTCTCACGGTTGAGGTCCACGGCCACGCGCACGGCCCAGTCACCCCCGTACCCCGTGCTGCCGTTGAAGGACTTGAGGAACGCCATGCTGAGGTCGAATGGGCCGTCCTTCACCTCCTGTGTGCAATGCACATGGGAACGAACTCACTCGGATGAGCACCACTTGAGTTCATGCCCTTCCTCTCCCCTATCCATGCCAATCCCATGGGCCCTGCACTCTCAACCCTCATGCCCTTCGTCCACTCCCACTCTCTCCCTCCCCTCCCAAGGTTTCTCCTTCCCGTGTCACCTCCCCATACCTGGCGGGCGTAGCGGCGGCCATCATGGCGCAGCCAGGAGTAGGAGTGCAGGACGGGGTCGTGCAGCTCACACGTGTGGCGGACCACAAAGTCGTCCTGCCTCGGCGCCCACCACATCACCCCCGCCACCACCGACTGGGGCAGGCTGGGGGGCGAATGGAAAGACAGAGACAACCGGCACGACACGCGAGGAATATGGGGGGCAGGACATGGAGGCAGCATGGGCAGGAGTGGAAGAGGAGAGGCCTGTGCAATGCAGGAATGCGCGGATGGTAAAGAGGGGAGTGGAGCGAGTGAGTGAGGAAGTGATGGGAAGAGGCACCGCACGCAGCAGCGGCACAGCGAGCAGCGTGGCAACCACAAGCCACAAGCCACAAGCCACAAGCCACAAGCCACAAGCCACCTCCTCCTCCCCTGCCGCCCGCACTGCACTGCTGACACGCTCGCCCCCTCTCCCTTCAGTGCCGCCCCCTCTTCCGCTACGGCACAGCACAAAACAGCACAGCACAGCGCAGCACAGCACAGCACAGCACAGCACAGCGCAGCACAGCGCAGCGCAGCACAGCACAGCGCAGCACAGCACAGCACAGCACAGCACAGCACAGCAGAGCAGAGCAGAGCAGCCTACCGTGGGCGAATGCCGAGGTAGAGTTGCGGGCGGTAAGTTCCCCACAGCATCTCCTCCGCATACCCGCCCTTGAACTGCCCACACATGCCATGCCATGCCATGCCATGAGATGAGATGACGACACATGATGCAGCATGCAAGGTCATGCCATGTCATGGCAGCACACGATGGGAGGAGAGGGGTCAAGCCCACCTGCCAATGCATGTGATCCGCATGCCATTAGGTGCCATTAGGTGCCAACCGCAATGCGCCAAAGCATCCCATGAGGAACGTTTACCCATGCACGTATGCACATCGACCCATTCAATCATCCACCTGTACACCCGTCACCCGTGCATCCATGCACACACATGTGAAACGCTTCGCACGGTCGTGGGCGCGAGGAGCAGCGACGGCCTTGGGGAGGCATGACTTCAACGCCTTGCGCCGCTCCTGATCCTCGCATGCCACTTGCCCGTGCTTGCCATGCACTGCGTTGCCGGGATAACCATCCCAACCCCCTCCGACCGCCCGCACCTCACCATGGGGAGCACCTCACCATGGGAAGCATCACCATGGGAAGCACCTCACCATGGGAAGCACCTCACCATGGGAAGCATCACCATGGGAAGCATCACCATGGGGAGCACCTCACCATGGGAAGCATCACCATGGGAAGCACCTCATCATGGGAAGCATCACCATGGGAAGCACCTCACCATGGGAAGCATCACCATGGGAAGCACCTCACCATGGGAAGCATCACCATGGGAAGCACCTCACCATGGGAAGCATCACCATGGGAAGCACCTCACCATGGGAAGCATCACCATGGGGAGCACCTCACCATGGGAAGATCCGCCACGCGCGGGGCGTTGAGCGGCGTGAGGTGGCGCTGCTTCTCGGAGGAGCCGAAGAGCGCGTCGCCCCACGTCAGCACGACGATCACCGCCGCCGCGCATCCCGCAGCTAGCACCAGCGCAAGGACCGCCGCATTCCACGCCAGGTTTGCCGGGGCAGCCTTCCCTCGGTGCGGGTAGTGCGCCGCCCTGTGCGCCTGTGCACGCTTGCCCGCCGCGCCGCCGTCAGCGCGCGGGGAGGACGGGTCGTCTCCTCCATCCCTGGCACCGCGTCGCCGCGAGGGTGGAGGCATTGTGGAAGAAGCGCAGCAACACGAGTGGATTTAGGAGCCCGCTGGCCGTGGGGTCACTCGGGAGTGTCTGGTGGAGACTCGGATGGAATCGCCAGGCGTGGGCATCACCAGCTTCACATTCAATTCAATCACTCTGCGTTCCATGAACAGATCGCGATGTGAATGCTGTACTCGTTATAACAGTACTGGTAAAAGTAATTCGATACTGTGTACATCTAAGAATACTCTCAAGAATATGGACTGTTATGAACGGGTGTTGTTCTGTGTCAAATAGGCCTTTGGATTGGATATACACTCTGGTTGAGAAGATCTTTAATCCTGGAAAATTCATAACATTCGAATGAAATAATATGGCAATATGATATGCAATTACACGCACGAGGACCAAGTAGATACAGGTAAACGCCACTGGAAGTGCGAACCTGAGTTGCGCATGCATGCTGCATGAGAGCGTCATCCATGTGCACCCTCTGGTGGGCGAGGTGTTGTTGCACGGGCAGAGAACAGGCCCCCACATGAAGCTTGACCGAATCTCCATGCCAGAACGTGGTGAAAGTACTAATGTACAGCCAAGAAGTGCAGGTGGTCACGAGCCCATGTTTCCCCATGCTGCTGCCACCTCCACTCCCATGTCCACGGGTAGTCCCTTGTGAGGTGTTGCTCCGCCGCCTGCTGCCAGCCCACCGGGTGCCACCTCAGCGCCTTGCGTGCCGCCCACGGGAGCAGCTTGAGCAGTGTGAGCAGCAGCGTGAGTGGCAAAGACAGCGTGGGTGGGGCCCCATGGGGGAGGCAGTACCAAGGGGAGGTGGTACCTGGCAGGCAGACAAGGTCGTGATTAGGATACAGAGGCTGGTTAAGGGGCAGGAAGGGGTACAGACAGAAGCAGGAAAAGGAGAAGTAGGAAAGTAGCAAGAAACAAAGGACGATTGCAATGGCGGTGCAAGTACCAGGGGGGACGGATGGTGATGGCAGTGCCAGGCTGAATGGCAGGTGCAAGGGAAGCACCGACGGCAGGAGAAGCTGCAGCAGTGCCAGTAGCAGTGGCTGCAAACGGTGCGGAGCTGTTGAGAGTAGTGCTGCTGGTGGGGATGACTGCAAGGAAGGGCTGTGCCTGCTTCCGAAGAAGGTCGTCGTCTGGTATGTGGGGGTGGCGGGATGGGGGAGCATTGGGAGTGGAGGCGCGTAAGGGTGGAAGCGTGAGGAACACAAGCGGTGTGGCATGCAGAGGAGGGAATTCAGGAGAGAAAGAAGGGGAGGAAGGATAAACAAAGAATGGGTACGTTTGCACACATTGTCTGCTATGACCCCTAATGTGAGCACTGGAAATGAGTGTGAGTTGTGAGAGTGAGTGTGAGTGATGAGGGCAAGTTTGACATGAGCACCACCCACCTGCGGCAAGCATTGCTGCTCGCGCCACATGCTCGTCTCTCCCTGCACCTCCCACACTCGCATCGCCTGCACCCCTGCGCTCACGCCATGCACCAGCAGCAGCAGCAGCACCACTAACAGCACTACCAGCACCGCGAGCATCCTGAGCAGCTGCCGCACCCCAGTGATCGCTTCCTCCTCCCCCTCCTCCGCCACTGTCTCCCTGCCCCTCCCCCGCATAACCCGTGCCAGCCTGGCAGCGCAGCTGACTCATGGGAGCAGACGTGGCACGCTGCTGGGCCTGCTGGCACAGGCACAATGCCACGTGGCCCTTGAAGCTCACACTGGTTACAGTCACATGCAAGTCACGCATCCCATCCCAGGGCGCATGCGCCTCTGCTGCATCTGCCCGTGCATACTGCACTGCCTGTGCACCGTGGACTGCCTCGTGCCCGCTGCCTGCCTCTGCCCTGTGCTGCTGCTGCTGCCGCTGTGCCGCCTCCAGGCGAGCCAGACGCGACTTGAAGGGCAGACTGAGTGAGAGGGAGAGGAAGAAAGAAAGGACGGGGAAAGAAAGAGGGGAGGGGAAGTGACGAGGGGGCTTGGAGCAAGAGAAGAGAAAGGTGTGTGGCGCACAGCAAGTGGCCAGTACCCCACATGTGGGCAACATGAAACCTTCGTACAGTCACCTGCATGCAGTCACCTGCATACAGTCACCAGCATACAGTCACCTTGCAGCGCCAGGCCCTCTGGGCTTGTTCCCTGCTGAAGCAGTAACGCGTGTTCTCGGGGTGGGTGGGGCACACGAGGGCGAGGGCAGCGGTGGCAGCAGCGAGGCGAGCGAGGTGTGGGGCGGGGGGAGGGCGGGCGGCATGAGCTGCAAGGAGGGGGGAGGAGGGGAGGAGAAAACGAGGAAGGATAAACGGCAAGGGAGAAGCCGGTGGTTCAAGGGAGGTGGGCAACGCAGGACAGTAAAAGGCATGCAGCCATGCGATCAGAGCGGTGCGCCGCCCGGTCAGTCCAACGCAAGACTGGGAATGGTCCATGGGTGGATGGTGCATGGTGGATGGTGCATGGTGGATGGTGCATGGTGGATGGTGCATGGTGCATGGTGGATGGTGCATGGTGGGTGGTGCATGGTGGATGGTGCATGGTGGATGGTGCATGGTGCATGGTGCATGGTGGATGGTGCATGGTGGATGGTGCATGGTGGATGGTGCATGGTGCATGGTGCATGGTGCAAGGTGCATGGTGCATGGTGCATGGTGCATGGTGGATGGTGCATGGTGCATGGTGCATGGTGGATGGTGCATGGTGCATGGTGGATGGTGGGTGGTGCATGGTGGATGGTGCATGGTGGATGGTGCATGGTGGATGGTGCATGGTGCATGGTGCATGGTGGATGGTGCATGGTGCATGGTGGATGGTGCATGGTGGGTGGTGCATGGTGGATGGTGCATGGTGGATGGTGCATGGTGCATGGTGCATGGTGGATGGTGCATGGTGGATGGTGCATGGTGGATGGTGCATGGTGCATGGTGCATGGTGCATGGTGCAAGGTGCATGGTGCATGGTGCATGGTGCATGGTGGATGGTGCATGGTGCATGGTGGATGGTGGGTGGTGCATGGTGGATGGTGCATGGTGGATGGTGCATGGTGGATGGTGCATGGTGCATGGTGGATGGTGCATGGTGGATGGTGCATGGTGCATGGTGCATGGTGGATGGTGCATGGTGCATGGTGCATGGTGGATGGTGCATGGTGGATGGTGCATGGTGCATGGTGCATGGTGGATGGTGCATGGTGCATGGTGGATGGTGCATGGTGCATGGTGGATGGTGCATGGTGGATGGTGCATGGTGGATGGTGCATGGTGCATGGTGCATGGTGCATGGTGGATGGTGCATGGTGGATGGTGCATGGTGCATGGTGGATGGTGCATGGTGCATGGTGCATGGTGGATGGTGCATGGTGCATGGTGCATGGTGGATGGTGCATGGTGGATGGTGCATGGTGGGCGGTGCATGGTGGATGGTGCATGGTGCATGGTGCATGGTGGATGGTGCATGGTGGATGGTGCATGGTGCATGGTGCATGGTGGATGGTGCATGGTGCATGGTGCATGGTGCATGGTGCATGGTGCAAGGTGCATGGTGCATGGTGCATGGTGCATGGTGGATGGTGCATGGTGCATGGTGCATGGTGGATGGTGCATGGTGCATGGTGGATGGTGGGTGGTGCATGGTGGATGGTGCATGGTGGATGGTGCATGGTGGATGGTGCATGGTGGATGGTGCATGGTGCATGGTGCATGGTGGATGGTGCATGGTGCATGGTGAATGGTGGGTGGTGCATGGTGCATGGTGCATGGTGCATGGTGCATGATGCATGGTGGATGGTGCATGGTGCATGGTGCATGGTGGGTGGTGCATGGTGGATGGTGCATGGTGGATGGTGCATGGTGCATGGTGCATGGTGCATGGTGCATGGTGCATGGTGGGTGGTGCATGGTGGATGGTGCATGGTGGATGGTGCATGGTGGATGGTGCATGGTGGATGGTGCATGGTGCATGGTGCATGGTGGATGGTGCATGGTGCATGGTGGATGGTGCATGGTGGATGGTGCATGGTGGATGGTGCATGGTGGATGGTGCATGGGTGGTGGATGGTGTATAGTGGATGGTGCATGGTGGATAGTGCATGGTGGATGGTGCATGGTGGATGGTGCATGGTGGATGGTGCATGGTGGATGGTGCATGGTGCATGGTGCATGGTGGATGGTGCATGGTGGATGGTGCATGGTGGATGGTGCATGGTGGATGGTGCATGGTGGATGGTGCATGGTGGATGGTGCATGGTGGATGGTGCATGGTGGATGGTGCATGGTGCATGGTGGATGGTGCATGGTGGATGGTGCATGGTGGTGCATGGTGGATGGTGCATGGGTGGATGGTGCATGGGTGGATGGTGCATGGGTGGATGGTGCATGGGTGGATGGTGCATGGGTGGAGGGGGCATGGGTGGATGGTGCATGGTGGATGGTGCATGGGTGGATGGTGCATGGGTGGATGGTGCATGGGTGGAGGGGGCATCGGTGGATGGTGCATGGGTGGATGGTGCATGGGTGGATGGTGCATGGATGGATGGTGCATGGTTGATGGTGCATGGGTGGATGGTGCATGGGTGGATGGTGCATGCGAGTCAATGATGCCATCGTCTTGTCCCACCCTGGCAGGCAGCACCCCACCCCACCCTACCGCACCTGCCCATCGAAAGCTCCCCTAACACAATCCTGCTGCTGCTGCTGCTGCTGCTGCTGCTGCTGAGATTGAGGTTGGTAACACGGCGGTTGCACTGCCTCAGTCTGCACCTCGTGCTCACACTGCTGCTGGCAGTGGTGGGTGGAGTGCCCCTGCGGTGGCTGAGACGCGTGCAGCTGTGAGAGCTGCTGCTGCAATACCACGGGTGCCGCTGCTGGCACTGTCTGCGAGCTGGTAGGCGCCGGGGCTGCTGTGGCGCGCACCTGGTGGGGCATGGGCGCGTGCACATGGACGGGCATGTCAATACTATTTGCCATTCATTTGACCCGGCCACAAAGCATGCACTGCGCGCAGTATGACGAGACAGCTCATGTGCAGCAACACGCGCTTCCATGCCTCGCCGCATGTTATTGCACCATGCGCCATGCACCATGCACCATGCGCCAAGAATCATGCACCATGCACCATGCTACCATGCGCCATGTGCCATGCACCATGCGCCATGCACCATGCACCATGCACCATGCACCATGCGCCATGCACCATGCACCATGCGCCAAGAATCATGCACCATGCACCATGCTACCATGCGCCATGTGCCATGCACCATGCGCCATGCACCATGCACCATGCACCATGCACCATGCACCATGCACCATGCGCCAAGAATCATGCACCATGCACCATGCACCATGCTACCATGCGCCATGTGCCATGCACCATGCGCCATGCACCATGCACCATGCGCCATGAACCATGCGCCATGCACCATGCACAATGCACCATGCGCCATGCACCATGCGCAATGCACCATGCACCATGCACGCACCTTCTCCTTCTTCCCTCGGTACTGTCCGCCTCTCCCCTTTCCCCCATGCGCCAGGGGCGGAGGTGCGCCTGTCAGCTGCAGCAGCTGCAGCGCCAACCCTCCCACCGCCCCTCCTCCCCTGCTGCCCTCCCTCTCTCCCCCCTGCGAGCGCCCCTGCCCTTCTGCCCAAGCCTGCCCCTGCATCTCCTGCCTCGCATGCCCCACTGAAGCCTTGCCCGCCGCCCGCCCCCTCTGCGGCGTTGTGATGGGCGGGGAGGAGGATGCAGGGTGGGGAGGAGGCGGAGGCAGCACGGGGGGCAGCAGGGAGGCGAGGCTTGGTGATGATGACTTGGCGGCGCTGGTCCGTGTGGGTGCTGATGGGATGACGCCTGCTGCTGCCGCTGTTGCTGGTGCTGCCATGGCAGCAGTCGCTGCAACAGGTGCATGTGGTGCCGGGGGTGCAGCAGGTCGCGATGAAGGGTGGAGAGTGGCAGGGGGAGGGTGGGAAGGTAAAGGTGGGCGGGTGGGGGTCCCAGGCTGAGCGGCTGCTTCACACGGCATGGGTGCAGGTAGGGGCGATGCGGCAGGCACCAGTGCTGGTGGGTGCAGCGGTGGCAGTGGTGGCGGCGGGTGTGGGGAGGGCATGAAGGAGAGGCGCGCCAGCAGCCCCTCCGCCACGCGCCTGCTGTACTCCCCCTCAACGCCCTCCCCCTCACGCCCTCCCTCCTGCACTGCCTCCCGTGCCTCCTCCCCCTCTCCCGCATCATGAGCCTCCCTCGTCGCATCTGCAGCCTGGGGTGCAGCTTGGGCGTCCACGTGGTCGTCGGGGAAGCCATCCTCCTGGCAGCAGGGGACGGCCGTGCACACACGATGCACCGCAGAGGGAGCACGGGCGTGGAAGTAACAAGGCGTGCCAGACTTGGGCAGACGAATAGATGGGCAGACGTGGGCGCGAGTGTGCATGATATGGCACGGATGAATGGCATGTGGAAGAGAGGGTATTGGACGGCAGCGAGCAGCACAGGGCACACAACATGTTAGCACAGCAGGTGGGCATGCATGGCATGGCACGCTAGCAGATGGGCATGCATGGCATGGCATGGCACGCTAGCAGATGGGCATGCATGGCATGGCACGCTAGCAGATGGGCATGCATGGCATGGCACGCTTGCAGATGGGCATGCATGGCATGGCACGCTAGCAGATGGGCATGCATGGCATGGCACGCTAGCAGATGGGCATGCATGGCATGGCACGCTAGCAGATGGGCATGCATGGCATGGCACGCTAGCAGATGGGCATGCATGGCATGGCACGCTAGAAGATGGGCATGCATGGCATGGCACGCTAGCAGATGGGCATGCATGGCATGGCACGCTAGCAGATGGGCATGCATGGCATGGCACGCTAGCAGATGGGCATGCATGGCATGGCACGCTGGCACATACCCAGTCATCGGCAGTGGGCGAGTCAAACCATCGCAGCCCCCACTTGGCCCGCTGCCACGTGTCACCTCTTTCCTTCTCTGCCACGTTGGATGCTGCCAAACCCTGCCACCCAAATTTCACTCCTGACACGTCCCTGTTTGCCGCTGCTGACTCTCCAAGTGCAGAGACAGCGGCGTGTGGTTCACCAATCAAAGGCTGCCAAGTGGAATGAGAGAAATAGCGGAGCAGGGAAACAGAAGATAATCACGAGGCAGATGGAGGAAAGGACCAAGGTGCAGAAGCGGAGATTGGGAGTAGCTGGCGCCGCTTGACGACCATCATCGCTATCAGCATCCTCCCTGCCTTCGCGCTTCCTCCCCGTCGTCGCACTGCGCTCACCTTCGGGCCCGCGGCATTTCGTCCACCCGCCGCGCCCTTGCGCTTCATGAGGCGCTCCAGCGCGCCCCTGTCGTCCGCCTGGTACACCACGCGCTCCCACACGCCCTCGCTCTCCGCCTCCCCGCGGCCCCACGCGTCCTCCCCTCCGTCCAAGTCTCCCCCACCCCATCGGTCTGCGGCCATCGCCACGGGCGAGACGCGATGCCAACTCTGGCCCGCACGCACTGCGATTGCCCGCGCACGCACAGAAACACCGCAATTTAGTGCGATTGCATTCAATCAAATGCTGACCATCGTGCTGCCACTTTGACTACAAAATCTTGAAGCCCCAACTCTCACAAGTTCCTCCTCATCCGTCCATTGCCAGTGCGGGGGTGTCACGCGAAGCGAAATGGCGTCTTCGACACGCCTTGAAAGTGTCGACACCTTCAAACATTTCCCCAGGCTGGTTTCGTGGTTTGTTGTCGAAGTGCATCGCGTAGCTGCAATTCGATAAAACACTACCGAGTGTTAAAATATTGACCCCGTCTATGATGTGATTGATTAGTAAAACCTACTACTAGTAAATCGACTTTGTATCTTAACTGCTTTAGTATTAATTATGTGCACTTCAGTTAATGACAAAATAGTTTAAGAGCATTCAGGGCATTATGATCTCTTCGTGAAATTACATTACTGGAAAAGGAGGAAAATCTATGTATGGGCCGTGCATGTAGCTGCAAAAGCAGTAACTGTATTCATGACAATTGATTGTGATGTTCTCCTGTGGCGGGTCCCTATATTGCGGTGTCCTTTCCCTCCTGCATCTCGTGTTATGATTGCTAGCGAACAGGGCAAATCTTGAGATAACGGCCATGGCGGACGCATCACCCGTTAGGAGCCCCAGAAGCCCCAGAAGCCCTAGAAGCCCGAGAAGTCCAAGAAGCCCAAGGAGGACGCCGAGCCCTAAAAGTCCTAATCGGTCTAGGAGCAAGGTGAAGCGAGAGCATGATGATGACGTGGAAGATCGGCGGGATGACGCGAAACGTCAAAACACCCGCGATACAGGTGAGGGTTCCACATCTGCCCTCCATGCCGAGCTTATCTGAACCTGATTCTTATTATAGACTCTTCTCTTTTTTAATTTTCATTTCCTTCTTACCGATTTGGCCTATTTGATTTTTTTTTTCCCCGATATTGTCCGGGTTGAGCAGAGGAAGTGCGGGCGTTGGAGTCGACGCTGCGGTTCCTGGTGTCGAACAACTTTGCGGGGTCGGTGATCGGCAAGGCGGGGCAGGTGATATCGGAGTTCCAGGTGCAGTCGGGCGCCAAGATCGTCATGTCGCGCGCGCACGAGTTCTTCCCCGGCACCGCGGACCGCATCGTGCTCATCAGCGGCACCGTCAGCGCCATCCTCACGGCGCTGCACCTCATCCTCTCCAAGCTCGCCGACGTACGCCAACCAACCATCGCCTTCTTGCCGTCGTTCGTGCCTTTTTTTTCTTGCAGTCTTTTCTAGCATACTGCTTTGACAAGGCACAGCAGTGTCTTGGCAGCACTTACGGGATCTTCAAAGATTCATGCTCTACGCGTTCGCTCGCCTGTCGTTCGTCGGTGATACTCATGCCTTTCCGTGATGTTAACTGGTGAGCGTGATTAAATCCGCCGCTGTGTGTCGTACGGTGCCGTTCGCGCAGGATCCGCGGCGCGTGGAAACGGCGCGCGAGGGCGAGCTGGACCTGCTGCGCATCGTGGTGCCGCACCGCGTGTGCGGCGCCATCATCGGCAAAGCTGGCGCCACCATCCGGTCAGTCTCCCCCACCACTGGGAATGACTGCTTCTTCCACCAATTGCTTCTTTCCGCCTGCATTCCTTCCCTCAGTGGCGCCGCTCATGGCTCTTTTCGACACTGAAGATCGATCAGTACCCTCCTTCTGTCCTTCCTCGTGTCCCCTCTCATTCACTGGCCCGATTCTTACGCTGCTTGTGTCATTGTGGGGTGTGGGTGTCTTCACAGGGATGAAACTGTCGCTCCTCAATACCACCCTAGACCTTCTCTCACCACTCCGTGCTACGCTTAAATCCATCACCACCACTCTCAACTCCATCACCAGCACTCTAACTCCATCCCCACCACTGCTACGATTCGCGATGCTTTTATGGCTCCAATCAGTACCAGTTCCTGGTCGCCTCCCTCCGGAGCACCCGCAGACCAAGGCGTTCACCCTCCGCGCGTGCCCCACTCATCCCCGCAGCCGCAAGCTCCCTCCACTGATTCCTCGCAACTCTCTCTCATCTGCCTTTTTCCAATCCCGGATGTTACCTGCTCTTAATCCTCCGTGCGGCAATTGCTGCCATGTAATGCCGTTCTAGAAAGCGAGCATCTGCAACATCAGCCGCCATCGCCCAAACAGTGCGCAACGGCGTAATTCATCAGTTTTTTCTTGTAACAGGATAACAGCACGGGTTTGCGCAACGGCTTAACACAAAGCCCTTCGTCTGCGCACCTCGATTCGCTCGCTCCCCCGTTTGCCGTTTTCTCATGGGTCATCAGTGGTGCCCATACATCATCCCACCTGCCTCCCCTTCATCTTCTACCATCGCCCGCTCTTGTCTGTTTCGTGTATCATCCCCGCGTCTACTCTCTCGCAGCATCGTCCTCTCCCGCGCATCATCGCTTCCCACCCTCTCCCTCCGCATCTTCAAGCGATTGCGCCCTTCCTCCGCAGCAGCACTTCCCACACCGTGAACCGAGAACGGCAGTTGTGCCGCGGCTCCACACTGTCACCCTCACTTTCTCCCCTCCCCCCCCTTGTCCTACGCGCCCCTCAGCCAGCTTTGCCATCCACTATCCACTCCTCACCCCCCACCGTCTCCCATCTGCTCTGCTCTCCGTCCCGCCCATCCCAACCCCCGCTCTACCCCTCCGCACCCGGCTCCACCCTCCTCCTGCCCGTGCCCTCTCACCTCGCATGTCATGCCACCACGCCCTGCCACGTGGACCCGACGCCATCACGCCGCTCCCAAATGGCTGCCTCCCTCACATCGTGCGCGCCATGGCGCCATGCCGTCGCGGACCATCGGGGGCGGCTGGCCGTCGCTGGGCGCAGGTCGTTCGTGGAGGACTCGCAGGCGACCATCAAGCTGTCGTCGCAGGACACTGCTGGCCCAGGCTTCGCAGAGAGGCTCATCACGATAGGGGGCTCGCTGGAGCAGAAGCTGCGCGCGGTGGCGCTGCTGCTCACCAAGATGTCGGAAGACCCCACCTACGTGCAGTACGCTGACGTGCCGCTCTCCTACACCGGTGAGCAGAGGACCATCGTATCGTATCATATCATATCATATCACTCCTCGGGTGAGCCACGTGCCCCTCTCCTACACCGGTGAGCCACGTGCCCCGCTCCTACGTGGATACATATCTCCTCCACGTGTCTCTATCCTCCCGCGCTCACTCACGTATTCCCTTCTGTTCCTCCCGTATCCATCCCTTGCCTCTCTCCCCCCGCGCCTCACTGCGCGTCCCCCACCAGCGGCGGGCGGGTCATCTCAGCCGCCTCCCCCTCCGCCCGCGGCAGCGGGAGGGGGCAGGCACGAGGGCAGGAGCAGCGGGTTTTCGGAAGGAGGACGGGGCAGGGAGGGCGGGTACGGGGGCGGAGGGGGGTACAACGATGGGTACGAGGCGAGGGGGGGCAGCGGGTTCAGTGGCGGCTATGGCGGTGGTCCTGGGTACGGGGGCGGAGGTGGGGGAAGGGGTGGGGGCGGAGGCTATGGGGGAGGGGACAGATATGGAGGAGGGCGGGGCGGAGGCGGGGGTTTTGGAGCTCCCTATGCAGCGCCTAGGGGACTTCCTCCGTACCTTTCGGACCTGCGTGGCAAGGTGGGAGTGCTGTGGCAAGGTGGGCGTGCTGTGGCAAGGTGGGCGTGCTGTGGCAAGGTGGGAGTGCTGTGGCAAGGTGGGCGTGCTGTGGCAAGGTGGGCGTGCTGTGGCAAGGTGGGAGTGTTGTGGCAAGGTGGGCGTGGTGTGGCAAGGTGGGAGTGCTGTGTCACTGCGTGGGGCCACTGTGATGCCCCTGCTGCCCTGCTCTGCCTGCGTGCGCGATTTTGTGTGGTGTGGCCCATCATCGCCCGTAATCTCACAAGCAGTGGACCCTTGTCGTGCTGCCAGTGCCAGAGAGGTTGCAGTGTGATTGTACCCACACTGCTCACTGTCTCTCTGCCATTCCCAACCCCTCCGAACCCATTTCTACCTCTTTCCAACACCTCTTCCGCCACCCCTGCATGCAGGGCCCGCCTCCTCTGCCACCGGGTGGCGGAGTGCCAACGACCATCATAGTGGCGGTGCCGGACGACCATGTGGGCGCTGTTGTGGGCAAGGGCGGCAAGTCGCTGCATGAGATCCAGCAGGTGCGTGCGTGGGTGGGGTACAGTACAGCGGGCAGGGTTTCTGTCAGGAAAAGGGCATCGTTAGTGCCAGCAGGCTATCCGGTCACATCACTTGCTTCACCACTGACGATGCCTCTTCTTTCGCCGCTGGTACCATCTCTTTTGCTGCTCTCCGTGCAGCTGAAGCTCCTGTTGGTAATGAACTTTTCTCAGTCAGAGCATGGGAGCACAACACAACAAGCTTCCCTATTCCCTTTCCTACCTCTCCGCTTGCACATCTCCCCTTCATCTCCTCGTTTCTCTCCCTTTCACCTCCTCTTTTCTCTCCCCATCGTCTCCTCGTTTCCCGCCCCTTCATTTCCTCATTTCTCTCCCTTGTTGCAATGTCCAGCGCATTTCTCTGGGATCTAACCTTGCAGTATGCGTGTTGGTGGATGCCACATGCCTCTGCTCTCTCTGTGCAATCTCTGTGCATCACCACATCTATACTCGCATGTGTGCAGTCGGCGGGAGTGCGCATGCTCATATCTGACCGCAACGATTACGTTGAAGGCACCAGGAACAGGTCAGTACCGACCATAACCACGGCAACATTAGCCCCACCTCTTTTTTTTTTCCTTGCATCCCATAGGCAACCTGTCGCTGGATCGCTGCCCGTCTTGCATGCCTGCTGGGGCATGTGTCTCAGCTAGTCCTTCCACGTCTCCCCCTCCCCCCTTGCACTGGCAGGAAGGTGACAATAACAGGTCCATCGGAGGGGGTGGTAGCAGCGCAGCACCTGATAGCGCAGAAGGTGCAGCAGAGCATCGCCTCTGCCTCGG